TCGACCCATTGTCTCCACCTGCTCCTGCCCCACCGAACTTATCTCCACCTATCTCGACTCCATTTTCTCCCCCTTGGTCCAGGAATTTCTTACCTACATCTGTGACACCACCCACGCCCTCCACCTCCTCCAAAACTTCCAATTCCCTGGTCCACAACACCTCATCTTTACCGTGGACGTCCAGTCCCTATACACCTGCATTCCCCATGCAGATGGCCTAAAGGCTCTGCGCTTCTTCCTGTCCCGCAGGCCGGACCAGTCCCCCTCCACTGACACCCTCATCCGCTTAGCTGAACTCGTCCTCACCCTCAACAACTTCTCTTTCAATTCCTCCCACTTCCTACAGACAAAGGGGGTCACCATGGGTACCCGCATGGGCCCAAGCTATGCCTGCCTCTTCGTAGGTTACGTGGAACAATCCCTCTTCCGTAGCTACACTGGCCCTAAACCCCACCTCTTCCTCCATTACATTGATGACTGTATCCGTGCCGCCTCATGCTCCCACGAGGAGCTCGAACAGTTCATCCACTTCACCAACACCTTCCACCCCAACCTCAAGTTCACCTGGACCATCTCTGATACCTCTCTCTCCTTCCTGGACCTCTGTTTCCATCTCTGGCAACCACCTAGAAACCAATATCCATTTCAAGTCCACCGACTCCTACCGCTACCTAGAATACACCTCCTCCCACCCACCTTACTGCAAAAATGCCATCCCCTATTCCCAATTCCTTCGCCTCCGTCACATCTGCTCCCAGGATGAGGCATTCCACTCCCGAACATCTCAGATATCCTCGTTTTTCAAGAATCGCAACTTCCCCCCCCCTCAGTGGTCAAGAACGCCCTCGACCATGTCTCCCGCATTTCCCGCAACTCATCCCGCACACCACCTCCCCGCGATAACAACCAAAACAGAATCCCCCTCGTTCTCGCGTACCACCCCACCAATCTCCGGATCCAACGCATCATTCTCCGACACTGCAATCTGCATCTGCAATCGAATTCCGCCACCGAAGACATTTTTCCCTCCCCACCCTTATCTGCTTTCCAGAGGGACCAATCTCTCCAAGACTCCCTTATCTGTTTCACACTCCCCTCCAGCCCCACCACACCCGGCACTTTTCCCTGCAACCGCAGGAAGTGCTACACCTTCCCCTACACCTCCCCCCTCACCCCCATCCAGGCCCCAAAAAGACTTTCCACATCAAGCAGATGTTCACCTGCACATCTGCTAATGTGGTATACTGTATCCGCTGTTCCCGTTGTGGCCTCCTCTACATCGGGGAAACCAAGCGGAGGCTTGGGGACTGCTTTGCGGAACACCTACGCTCAGTTCGCACTAAACGACTGCACTTCCCAGTCGCGAATCATTTCAACTCCCCCTCCCATTCCTCAGACGATATGTCCATCTTGGGCCTCCTGCAGTGCCACAATGATGCCACCTGAAGGTTGCAGGAACAGTACCTCATATTCCGCTTGGGAACCCTGCAGCCCAATGGTATCAATGTGGACTTCACAAGCTTCAAAATCTCCCCTCCCCCTCTCTCCCTATTTATTTCAGAACCCCCTTCCCCTCCCCCATTTCTGAAGAAGGGTCTAGGCCCGAAACGTCAGCCTTCCTGCTCCTCTGATGCTGCTTGGCCTGCTGTGTTCATCCAACTCTACACCTTGTTATCTCAGATTCTCCAGCATCTGCAGTTCCTACTATCTCTGAAATAAGTTTAAAAACAGTCTGGGTGTCTTTAATTAACAGCATCCAAACACAAAGCTAGCCCACAGCTGTGAAATCAGATCCAGGTTTGAATTCCGATATATTCAAAAAAAAACACTGGAGTTTCAATTGTAATCTGAAAATTCTACTGAAATTTTTGAATTTACAACAGTTACTTTTTTCTAATTACTTCCCGCTTAACCTAGAACTCCCATTCTGAAATTTGCTTCAAATTTAATATAATAATATATGCTAATACATGATCATAATTACAAAAAGCGAATAAACTTAAAACAAACATCATTCACTCAAAATCACTTTTACACACACGTTTGAGTAACATTTCAAGTTAAATCTACATTTTTAAAAAAAATAAGTTGACTTAATCCGTGGTCGTCAGGCCTTCTTTCTTCAGGGTACCTTTTCAACCAATCATAAATGTAAGCTCAAGAAAAAGGTGAATTTTCACAAAAACAGGCTTTTTAAAAAAGCTTTTAAAAAAAATTAAATCCAAAAAGGCACAATTCTCACACCATAGGAGAGACAAAAGGGAGTCCTTCAGTGTTCATTTACAGAACAATCAAAGTGGCAAAGCTTACAAATAAAGTCAAACTGCCTTGAGTACCGTTGCTCACTAGCCCCTAGAGAATCCCCATCTCTTTCAGCTTTTGTAAAATACTTCAATATCCATTTTATCACACATTATTCAGTGACTCAGACACACAAAATCAAACAGGACACTCCAGTAAGACACACAAATAAAAACTTAAATTCGCATGCAAGATATTCTGTTTGCACACAGCAAAACTTAGTGTGTATTGTTTCCAACTTAACTGTGTCAAAACATTATTCTTAATGTTAAAGTTTATTTTATTTCTTCGACTTTCTTTATACGTGTATATAAAAGAAAACACTGTAAAGTCAGGAAGCAAGAGGTAACTAAGACTTTATGTGGAATAGTATGGTAACAGCAGAACTATCAATAAGATGAATATTATAGAGTATGGAGGATAGGAGACTAATCAGAACAGCCATGGATTTGCCAAGTCTGAAGTTGACAAAAGCATCAACAATAATTTCAACAAATGGACTGAAATGAGTACTGTTAAAGATGGCACAAGGTGGTGTTCATGGCGTAGATAATGCTAAACTGTTAATCCAGAGACCCAGATAATGTTGTGGGGACCTGCGTTCGAATCCCACCAGGGCAGATGGTGTAATTTATATTTAATTTAGAAAAATCTGGAATTAGAGTCTAATGATAACTATGAATCCATTGCTGATTGTCGAAAAAACCCATCTGGTTCACTAATGTCCTTTAGGGAAGGGAAACAGCCTTCCTTACCTGGTCTGGCCTTCATGTGGCTCCAGATCCACAGCAGTGTGGTTGACTCTTAACTGCCCTGTGGGCAATTGGGGATGGGCAATAAATGCTGCCTAGTCAGCGACACCCTCATCCTGTTTAAAAAAGAAAAAATTTGGGTGGGTAAACTATAAAAGATCCAATAAGTCATCAAAGTTTATAGAATTTATGACAGGTGAAGACAATGCCTTCAGTTTTCCAATGTTTTAACTTGAATAATTGTGGCTTATTTAGGAGTCAATATTGGAATAGCAATCTGAACACTTTCTGTGGAGGAGAGGAGAAATATTACTTAGACCATCCTAATCAAAGTCAGAAATGACATTCATTTTTAGATGGGAGTGTACAATCCCTTCTTGACTTTCACAGTCAGTTGATGAGTCTGACGGTCCTGGGTTTATGTTTCTGCTGCACTTCTGCCAGATTTGTACTATGCCGTAAATATTATCAATTCCCCAAGTTATCCGGCTGGTTCAACTAATCCTATTGTACTCATGATGAGGTTTATCTCATGGTCAACTTGATCCTCAGCCACTCTTTTCCACAGTTCAGTCCTGATGAATTAGCTAGCTGTTTCACTCAATTAACCAGCTTGCTGCAGCAATTTTCTGAATTCATTTGTTGTCTATCACAATTTTACGTTAATAACATCAAGGCTAGAGGACACATTTTTAAGGTGAGAGGAGAGAGATTTAAAACAGACATAAGAGGCAAATTATTTACACAGGGGGTGGTTTGTGTGTGGAATGAACTTCCTGAGGAAGTGATGGATGCGGGTAGATTTACAATGTTTAAAAGACTTTTGGATAAGTACATGAATAGAAAAGGTTTGGAGGGATTTGGGCCAGGAGCAGGCAGCTGGGACTAGTTTATTTTGGAATTATGTTCAGGGTGAACTGGTCAGACCGAAGGGTCTCTTTCCACACTGTATGACTCTATGAGCATGGTTTAGCTGGGTTTACAGGCCTGTATTCATGCATCCTATCAAGCTGCATGGAATGTTAATTAAACAGATTAAACTTGTTGTATTGTACCTCTTTCATAATTTTTTACAAAGGTTTTGTAGCACATTGAAACATAGAACATAGGATCAAGAGTCATCCATCTGGCCCTTCGAGCCTACTCCACCAATCACTATGGTCAAGCTGATCATTCAATTCAGTGCCGTGTTCCCATTTTCTCCCCATATCCTTTGATCCCTTTGGTCCTGAGAACTTAAGGGGAGGTGATGGCCTGCTGGTATTATTGATAGGCCATTAATCCTGAGACCCAGGTAATGTCCTGGTGACCCACGCTGAAATCCCACCATGGCAAATGATAGAATTTGAATTCAACAAAAGTGGGATTAAGGGTCTAATGATGACCATGAAACCGTTGCCGATTGTTGGAAAAACTCATCTGGTTGCTAATGTTCTTTAGGGAAGGAAATCTGTCAGCGTTACCTCGTCTGACCTACATGTGACTCCAGATCCACAGAATGTGGTTGACTCTCAACTGCCTTCTGGGTGTTAAGGCCTGGTCTGGCCAGTGACGTCCACATCCCTGAATGAATTTTTTAAAAAGTTATATCTATATCTTTCTTGGAAGTTTTCATTGTTTTGGCCTCAACAAGTGGCAGAGAATTCCACAGGTTCACCTCGCTTTGGGTGAAGAAATTCTTCCTCACCTCTGTTGTAAAAGGCCTGCCTCTTATCCTTAGACTGTGACCCCTGGTTCTGAACTCCTCGGTCATCGCATACAACCTTCCTTCATGTATCCTGCCCAATTAGCTTGACACCTGTATATTTGTTCAGATTAACCGTATCAAAATGGTTTTGTTTGAATTATTGTTGGTAAATCACAGTGTATTCATTCACTTCTAGTTCAATGTCTTTCATTTTCATATGTACAAAACTAAAGTGATTTGACCTTTATTTTGTTTACTAGGAAACTATTCTGGATGATAATCATCATGTTGCTGTTGCACTTGGCAAACCAGACATGTTTGGCAAATATCCTGTACAGGTAATTAAAGCTACTGACTTTTGCATAGTATTTAGGATACAAACAGTCTTTTCATTCCAACAGATTTGGTGGCTAACATTTTCTCTTTTAAAAAGTACTAAAAAGGAAAAACGTATTGCAAGAGATTTGGGCATCACTGCCCAGGCCAGTGAACATGTCTGTTTTCAGATTGCCCTTCAACTGAGTGTTTTGCTATGCTTTTTTTGGAGTTGGGGTGGGGTGGATTGGAAGGCTTTCAAAAGGAGCATTTTGATTGGGTAAATGGGGATAAGCTATTTTTGCAGTGAAGAGTCAAGTCCAGAAACATGACACTTCAAAAAAAAATGGAGAGGTTCATTTCTCTCCTCCACCCAATAGAGAATTGTTGGATGTGGAATGTTTTTACGAGATTAATGGAAACAAGACCAGATTTTTTTTTTTTAAAAGAAAATTGATCAATATATGTGAAAAAGGCAGGGAAGTGGGATGAAATGCATAGCCATTTCAAAGGGCCAGAAAAGTCATGATTGGCCAATTGGTGCTATAAAATTTATAAGTAATGCAAAGAACTATCCAAAAGATGCATTGTGAAATATACTTCTGCAAATTTGAAAGCATTACTTTTCCCATCAATCTAACTGGTAATCCAGTTGACAATATAATATTACCAGTTCTTCCATTTGAAATTATAATGCCTTGAAGACCATCACAATGAAACAATACCATAATATAACTTATCCAGGCATTGACTTACCAAAAGACACATTAATGAATGAATTAAGTAGTAGGACATTTAGCCCTTTGAGCCTGCTTTGCCTTTCAATAGGATCATAGCTGATCTGATTATAGTCTCAACCATATTTTTCAGTCTATCCCCCACATATCCTTTCTCTACATTGTTAATGAACAGTCTGTCTAATTTTTAAACTTAATTAATTGAATTTGTAGAATCATTGTTAAATAACTTGCATTTATACAGCATTTTACCATCTCTCTCATGCATTCCAAAGTGCTTCACATAAACTGAATTAAACAACTTGCTTGATGGGATGTCTGCTTTGTTTGATGCAAAGTCTTACACATGACAATGAGATGAATAGCCCTGTTAGATGAGAGAAGAATGGACATTCTGTGAGCTCCATGATCTTCTTTGAAAATGTCAATGGGATTTTCAATTTTCATGTGGACAGTCATGACCGAGATCACATGCTAAAGCATTGAAAGAAAGACTGCTTCTAACTCAGCCAAGCTGACACTTGTATATAATAAACTCCATTGCTTCAATGGCACTCAATTTAAAATCATACTTGAGGTTATCAATCCATGCTTTGAATAATAGTTCACCTTCACCATAATCTGTCGAAGTCTTGCTGAGTGATGTAGGAATTATTTACTGTATTGCATGTTTAATATTAAAAATAATTCACAGATGGTCACTGTCAAAGTTACCTGAATTTGCAACACCATTTAGTAACACTTTGGCATGAACGTCAAAGTGCAATGTAAACTTACAATTAATGTACATAATAATAACTGTTTAACAAGAAGAAATTGACTTCCAGTAAAAGCAAACTTGGGACATGCAACAGTGTTCTTGGATATCCACGTACAATTTGCTGGCGTTCCTACCATTATTATGTTTGGAAGAGCTATCAGACCTGAGACCACTTGCAACCACCATGTCACTTCAGGAAAAAAAAATGTTGTGGCTTTGTAGAATTCAAATGTTGTTTCACCATGAAACTGATATTCGCTGTAGGTCCTTCTTTGTTCTTCCCAAATCAATTCAATACAGCCAATCAAAGATGCCAGTGAACTTAATTCAAAGGTTTCTGAGTTTCCAATGCATATGCCTCAGTGCAAACATTTCACAATATATGCTGTTTTGTTTTGTACAACTTGAGAAATTGGCAATGCACATTTACTTTAGGTTCTCCAACTAAAAATCTAATCAGCTTACCAACTGTTAATTAGAAATGCAGCTCAAATGGTTTGTATAAGAATGAGAGGTTATTTCACTGAAATATACAGAATTCTTAAGAGGCTCGACAGAGTAAATGCTGGAATGATGATTCTTCTGATTGTAGATTCAGTAACTTGGAGCTGCAGTCTCTCTATGAGTAATCAGTCATATAGGAGTGAGATGAGATATTTCTTCACATAAAGAGTTGTGAAACTCTGAAATTTTCTACTCCCAAACACTGTGGGTGGTATATCAATGACTGAGATTGACTTTTGGACATGAGGAGAATTGTGGGCAAGTGAAGTTGATGTCAAAGATGAGCCACAATCTTGTTGAATGGTAGAGCAGGCTCAAAGGTCTAAATGGCTTAACTCTGCCGCATATAATTTTTTTTGTATTCTAACCTTTCTGTATATTGTTTCCATTAAGGGGCTAGCTTTCATTCCAGATTTAATAATTAAATTTAAATTCCATCAGCTGTATGGTGCGATTTGAATCCATGTCCTCCGAACGCTAAACCTAGGTGTTTGGATTATAAATTTTCTAATATTACCACAATGCCGCCATCTCCCATAATGCTGCATACATTACCTTGTACTCCAAGAATTAAAAGGTTTTATTTGTAAACAAGTGTAAATACTCTATTACATGATTTCCAAGTATTACATGATCTTTCTTTCACATAACTGTACCTATTCTTAATGTAAACTTTTTTTTAGGTACAAGAGAATATTAATCAAGAACCACCGAAGTTCACACTTTTGTCCTTTAAGGATCTAATCTCATCAGCCATTGCTATGGTACCAGAGGATCCAACGTGCTGGGAGAATTTTCAAATCAAGCAGGAAAAACCAAGTCGTCAACATCGGATGTCTGTATGACCTTATTGTATGGAGCAAAACTGTCAGCAATGAATCTTGGGTATTTTAATCACATAACCTTGGACAACCAAAGGAGACAATGCACACTATAAATCGATTCCTTCCAATTCCTCAGACGGAGCTTCTCTTCAAATTTTGCAGAATGATGGATGTATTCTTTGGTTTTGAATTCATAATTTATGATGCTGAGTGTGATATTGTCATATTGATGGCTTTTTATTTAATAATGTGCTTTTGAAGTGCAAAATTAAAAACAAAAATATCTGTATGACAACGAAATGGACACAAGGAACAGACTATTCTTTCCGAAAATTCATGAAGAAACCAACTACTTGGCAAAGGGCAAACTGCAGTAAACATTTGTAACATCCACTGCGGCAAGAGAAATCCATAGAAGCAATTGCTCACCTTGTATAGGCAGAACCTTAACTGTGTAAGTTTTTTCTTTATTCTTGGCATTTGCTGCATCCTACAGAACTAAATGTGGTCATCTAAAAATGACATGGGCAAGGCAAGATAAGTCCTCTCACTTCAAATTATTTCAGTTTTCTCACCATATGAATATACCACCTTCCATCATGGTATAAAGGGTGTACACTGTCTGATGAGCCTTCATTTGTTTTTCATTATGGCAGAAAACACTTATCACATGTGCCTCAAAGTCTCAATTTTTATTTTAAGAGTAAATTATCAGGTTTCAAATGGTTTGCTACAGAAGCTATTTACAAGGGGTAGAGGATGGCTTAGTGGTATTATTGCTAGACTATTAATCCAAAAACCCAGCTAATGTTCTGGGGACCCTGGCTGAATGGAGAGAACTGGAGGTCATGCCAGGAGCAGCATCAGGCATACCTGAAGATGTGGTGTCAATCTAGTGAAGCCACCAACAGGACTACTTGCACGCCAAACAGCAAAAGCAGCAAGTGATAGACAGTGCTAAGTGATACCACAACCAACCAATCAGATCTAAACTCTACAGTCCTGCCACATCTAGTCGTGAATGGTTGTGGACAATTAAACAACTCACTGGAGGAGGAGGCTCCACAAATATCCTCATCTTCAATGATGGAAAAGCCCAGCATATCAGTGCAAAATATAAGGCTGAAGCATTTGCATCAATCTTCAGCCAGAAGTGCCCAGTGGATGATCCATTTTGGCCTCCTCCAGTGGTCCCCAGCATTACAGATACCAGTTTTCAGCCAATTCCATTCACTCCATGTGATATCAAGAAATGGTTGAAGACACTGGATACTGCAAAGGCTACGGGCCCTGACAACATTCCAGCAATAGTACTGAAGACTTGTGCTCCAGAACTTGCCGCTCCCCTAGCCAAGCTTTTCCAGTACAGTTACAACACTGGTATCTACCCAGTAATGTGGAAAATTGCCCAAGTATGTCCTGTACACAAAAAGCAGGACAAATCCAACCCAGCCAATTACCACCCCATCAGTATCCTCTCGATCATCAGTAAAGTGATGGAGGACGTCATCAACAGTGCTATCAAGCAGCACCCGCTCAGCAATAACCTGCTCAGTGACGCTCAGTTTGGGTTCTGCCAGGGCCACTCAACTCCTGACCTCATTACAGCCACAGTCAAACATGGACAAAAGAGCTGAATTCCAGAGGTGAGGTGAGAGTGACAGTCCTTGACATCATGGCTGCATTCAGCCGAGTGTGGCATCAAGGAGCCCCAGCAAAACTGGAATCAATGGGGCAAACTCTCCGGTGATTGGAGTCATATCTGACACATAGGAAGATGGTCGTGGTTGTTGGAGGTCAGTCATCTCAGCTCCAGGATGTGTCTGCAGGAGTTCCTCATGGTCGTGTCCTGGGCCCCCAACAATCTTCAGCTGCTTTATTAATGACCTTCCCACCATCATAAGGTCAGAAGTGGGGACGTTCGCTGATGATTGCACAGTGGTCAGCACCATTCATGACTCCTCAGATACTGAAGTAGTCTGTGTTCAAATACAACAAGATCTGGACTATATAGAGGCTTGGGCTGACAAGTGATAAGTGACATTCGCGCCACACAAATGCCAGGCTACGACCATCATCAATAAGAGACAATCTAACCAGCACCACTTGATATTCAATGGTGTTACCAACACTGAATCCCCACTATCAATATCCTGGGGGTTATCATTGACCAGAAACTCAACTGGACTCACCACGTAAACACAGTGGCTATAAGAGCAGGTCAGAAGCTAGGAACACTGTGGCAAGTAACTCTTGACTTCTCAAAGCCAGTCCACCATCGACAAGTCACAAATCAGGAGTATGCTGGAATACTCCCCACTTGCCTGGATGAGTGCAGCCCCAACAACACTCAAGAAGGTTGATACCATCCAGGACAAAGCAGCTCCCTTGATTGGTACTACATCCGCAAGCATTCACACTCTCCATCACCGATGCTCAGTAGCAGTGTGTACTATCTACAAGATGCACTGCAGAAATTCACCAAAGATTCTCAGACAGCACCTCCCAAACCCACAACCACTTCCATCTAGAAGGACAAGGGCAGCAGATATATGGGACCACCACCTCCAAGTTCCCCTCCAAGCCACTCACCATCCTGACTTGGAAATATATCACTGTTCCTTCACTGTCGCTGGGTCAAAATCCTGGAATTCCCTCCCTGATGGCAATGTGGGTCAACCCATAGCGGGTGGACTGCAGCGGTTCAAGAAGGCAGCTCAGCACTCGGGACGGGCAAGAAATGCTGGCCAGCCAGCAATGCCCAAGTCCCACAAATAAATAGAAACATAGATCCAGTTTCATATTCAGTTTCCTCTTCCATATATGATTTTTTTTGCTGAATTTGCTTCAAGGTTTTAGCCTGGACTCATTGAACCAATTCTCCCCACCTTTCCTCCCCCCCCCCACCACAGAAGGTAGCTTAGAAATATAAGAACATAGACAATAGGAGCAAGGGCAGGCCATTGAGCACTTTGAGCTGTCTCTGCCAATCAATACAATCAGTACTCAGTACCCTGCTCCCTATTTCTCCCCATATCCTTGGATCCCTTTAGCCTAAGAACTGGATGTAACTCAGTGAAAATATTCAATTTTTTGGCCTGAATTGCTTTCTGTGACAGAGATTTCCACAGGCCTACCAGTCTCTGGATGAAGATATTTCTCCTCATCTCAGTTCTACATGGCCTACCCCGTATCTTGAGGCTGTGACCCCTGGTTCTGGATTCCCCAGTTATCTGGAATGACCTTCCCATGTTTACCCATGTCTAATCAAGATACCTGAGATGCCCCTCATCCTTCTAAACTTCAGTGAATATAACAATATAACCAATCAGTCAGTCCTTCCATCCCCTGAAACAGCCTGGCAAACCTTTGTGCACTCCCTCCAAAGCCAGAACATCCTTCCACAGTTAACAGAGCAAAATTGTACACAGTACTCCAGGTGTGGTCTCACCAAGGTTCTATACAATTGCAGAAAGATATTCCTGCTCCTGCACTCAAATCCTTTCAATATGAAGGCCAACAAACCATTTGCCTTCCTCACCGCCTGCTGCATCTGCATGTTTACTTTCAGCAACTGGTGTACAAGAACACCCAGGTCTTATTGCATCTCCTTCTTACCTTGTTTTTGCTACTAAAGTGGATAACCTCACAATTACCCACATTATACATCTTCTGCCAAACATTTGACCACTCACTCAACTTCTCCAATTCACACCAAAGCAACTCTGTGTCCTCCTCACAGCTTAGCCTCCCACCCAGTTTTGTGTCATCTGCAGACTTGGAGATATTACATTAAGTTCCCTCATCTAAATCATTAATATATATATTGTGAATAGCTAGAGAGCAAGCACTGATTGTTGCAGTATCCTACTAGTCACTGCTCACCAATTGGAAAAAGACCATTTTAATCCTACCCTTTGTTTCCTGTATGCCTACCAGTTCTCTATCCATGTCAGTACACTACCCTAATCCCATGTGCTTTAATTTTAAATGCTTTTCTCTTATGTGGGATCTTATTGAAAGCCTTCTGAAAGTCCAATAAACCCTATCCAATTGCTCCCCTTATCAACTCTACTTGCTACATCCTTGAAAAATTCCTGTAGATATGTCAATTATGATTTTCTTTTCATTAATCCATGCAGACTCTGTCCTATAACGTAAGTTCCATGAACTTTGAAGTGTATTTGTGGAAAAGAGATTTGTCTCAAATTATCTCATTGGAGATTGTAGTATTTTCATGAACAAACTGATTATTGACACTCTTCACTAAACATTATTTGTGATTTGATCCTCATGGTACTAATTGTTCCAATTGTGGATGGAAATAAGGTTCTTCTCAGGAATGTGAAGTATTATAAACATACCAAGGGCCAGTCAGTGACTTGATGGGGTTAGCCAAAGAGAAAGGAAATGTGATTTTAATACATTATATTTCTAGATGCTTCTTTATCCCAATAGTTTTTTTAACTAGGTTGCACTTTTAATGTTTATTATCCTTAGGGATAAATAGTATCAGTGAGGATCCTGATCCTCATCAAAACTGATCCTAAATTGATCCTAAATACACCTCCTCTCACCAACCTACCTGCAAAAAGGCCATCCCCTATTCCCAATTCCTTCGCCTCCGCCGCATCTGCTCCCGAGATGAGGCGTTCCGCTCCCGGACATCCCAGATGTCCTTGTTTTTCAAGGACCGCAACTTCCCCTCCATAGTGGTCGAAAATGCCCTCGACCGTGTCTCTCGCATTTCCCGCAACTCATCCCTCACACCCCCTACTCGCAATAACAACCAAAACAGAATCCCCCTCGTTCTCATGTACCACCCCACCAATCTCCGGATCCAACGCATCATCCTCCGACACTTTCGCCATCTGCAATCCGACCCCACTACCAAAGACATTTTTCCCTCCCCACCCTTATCTGCTTTCCGGAGGGACCACTCTCTCCGTGACTCCCTTGTCCGCTCCATACTCCCCACTAGCCCCACCACCCCCGGCACTTTTCCCTGCAACCGCAGCAAGTGCTATACCTGCCCCTACACCTCCCCCCTCACTCCCATCCCAGGCCCTAAGAAGACCTTTCACATCAAACAGATGTTCACCTGCACATCTGCTAATGTGGTATACTGTATCCGCTGTTTCCGTTGTGGCCTCCTCTACATTGGGGAAACCAAGCGGAGGCTTGGGGACCGCTTTGTGGAACACCTACGCTCGGTTCACACCAAACAATTGCACTTCCCAGTCGCGAACCATTTCAACTCCCTCTCCCACTCCTTGGACGACATGTCCATCCTGGGCCTC